TAAATACAATATATCGCATCCATGGCGTGCTCTCTCTTCCACATGTTGCACTAATATGGATCCCTAGAGACTCGCTTAGGCAAATGATTATAGCTGTGCGCACTCGCCTTCCATTTCGCTTGGCCATCATCAGTGGAGGCAGCTCTCAAGGACTGTGGGTGTGGCCAGCAGAGTCTTAGTTACTTTATAAATATACATAGCTACGTCAAGGTACGTCATGAGCTGCCCACGACACAAGTCAAATACATTTAACATCGGGTTGGCTGCACATGTTGACCCGGGTAACGCCTCAAATCAATTTCATTAATAGAGCTGTCCCAAAGACCCGACCAAAGCCAAAAGAAAAGCAAACCTTTTCTTTTTTTCGAGCTAATTACCTTTCTTATTGCTTACCTCTAGTTGCTTTTAGCAACCCCCAAAAAAAGAGAGAAAAGTTTCGAGTAACAACTTTTTGGCAGCTGCAGAATTGTATAATAACTCAACAAAGATATAGAGAGAGGGAGGGAGATAGAGAGCTGCGGTACTCATTAAAATACAATTTGTTAAACATTTCATAATTAAATCTGTACGAAATTCTATTTCCACATCAAAGCCAAGTCAGTTACTTGGCTATTAGAGCAGACTGTCCTTTAGTTACGAAATTAGAGTATAAATGTAATATTCAATGTTTCATATTTATGAGTGAGTTAAGTAGGGTTATTTAGAATGGGCATTTCACTTCTGTTGAAATTCAAGGAAGAGGTTCAGAAGTGCTTAAGTATCTCAATTGAGTTATTTTAGGAATATTAAAGAAAAGATTGAACCAACTTATATTTCTCTTAGATATAAAAGTAACATGAATGAAATAGATGTAGTTTACAAACAGAGGGAGAGAAAGAGAGAGAGAGAGAGACACAGAATAATGTATGCTTTAAGTGACAAATAATATTAACGTGGCTAGTAATTTCGTATTTCCAGTTTATAAATCTCAAAAGAATAGAATATGGTTTCAATTTGTACAATTACCCAATTTACCAACTTCATATCAACAAAATTTCAACTTTATTTAACATTCATTAGGCGTATTGTATTTCATAAAGCCTAAACTTTTCTAATTAGTAAATGTTTTGTATCTGAGTTTCATCTTAGCTTCAATCACAAATATTTCAACATAATACAAATCAAGCAAATCTTTTAATTAAATCTAGCCAAGGCATTGCCTTTCATTCAAAACTTAGTCCAAGCCTAGCTCAGCTTTAACTTATCTCACATAGTCTAACTATTTCCATTCCTTTTCTCTGCAGTTATAGAAATGTCCGGGAGTTCTGACAACTAAAAGTTGCATTCTCTATTTACATGCAGTCAAGAGTTGGGCGAGAAATACAAACTTTTGACAGACGGTTGACAACAAGTTATTTTATTGGACAACAAAAAGGCAGAGAGAGAGGGAGAGAGAGGGAGAGAGGGAATGAGGAAATATATATGGGTATTTACAGTCAGCGGAAAAAGACATAAAAGCCAAAGTGAAATGGACAAATTTGATGATTTACTTAACTGAACGTAAGCAAAATAAACGGCAAATGCTCATTAGGGCTTAGCACAGGTGTGTGTGTGTGTGTGTGTTTGACACGCCCACACATGTCGTCAAGAAATATGCTGTCAAGTTGATTATTGTTAGGCGAGTTTTGACAAAGTTGACAAAGTTAATTATGTCAACGCATTAATAACACGCACCTGCACACACACACGCATGCACACATATATACATATATATAGAGATACTTTATTACACAAACTTTCATAATTTATAATTATTTATGCAGCCTCCAAATGCAACAATTTCAGACACTTCGCACTTCGCACTTAATTTCAAATAGCAAACACAACAAACACTCACACCCACAAGTACACAGCACACACACACAGAGACACTCAGCCGCCCACACACATGCTCACTTAGTTTACTAGCTAAATGTACCTGCTGCTTGTGTGTCCTTTCAGCGACTGTCGGCCAACACCTGTCGGCTGGCTGCTACAAGGCGGAGCAAAGCTTTTGCCGCAAGCTTTTTCGCCAGCTCTGCGAACATTTTTATGAATTAAAAGCACAAAGCAAGCTTTCACTGTGTGCGTGTGTGTGTGTGTGATGCCTATGGAATCAATGAAAGGCTACATTCATTTATGTACCTAGCCTTTCTGCCTTGTCCCAATGACGTCACAGCCAGCAGCTGGAGCAAGCTCATCCTCTGGCTGCCTCCAGCTTGTTGCCTGCCCAAATATTTGATAAGCCTGCCAAATATTGTTGTCAACTGACAAGAAATCACTGCGGGCTGTCATTTCTTCGACTATGCTTAAATACGGCCAAAGTAAAATGTTCAATACTCTAGAAAGACTTGAGTTGGTCTGAAAGAGGGAAATTTGATTATAGAGTGGAACTTGATGTCGCTAGAAAGCGGAAATGCTAATAAATTGATTCCCTTTCTATGTATTTGCTGTACATTTAGAGTTATTTATTATCTCTTTAATACTCTACTTTCGTTCAAGAATTTTTTAGCTTTATATCAATTAATTACTTTTTATAGAGCATTGAGAATGCGCTCTGAAGCTAAGTATTTCTATAGGATTCGAAAGCAAAGCCAAATTCTCTTTTATTTTGTGTATGCAAAACAGAATAATTCATTTGTAATTAGAGTAACCATGCAATTACTTTATTACATTTAGAAATAGAATACTTAGACATTCAGCTCGGCAACCGAAGCGAAATTTAATAGATTTTATTCACAATTTTTCGCGGCTTGTGCATAATTTAAACGTAAAGAAGAAATTTTGTCTACATACAAATAAAATATTTATGAATTATAGAATTTAATAATTCAGTTGAAGATAATTGAAGCTGAGGATAATTGAAGCTGGTTTAGAGGAAAGTCCAAAGGAGCAACTGAATTAAAATAGCATAATGTTACTCTTAACAAAATAAAGTTATATTCCTTAATATTAAATAAGTTCTAGACATTCAAGGCATATTTGATTAGGTAATAGATCATTGCTTCGAACTGGACTCATCTTATGAGCATTCCTTTGCCTAAAAATAGCTGATCTCTGCAGTCATAGTATCTTATGTGCGTAGACCTGTTCCGTTACCAATTTTATACCAAATGTGTAGCTTAATATATATACATTCTTAGATACCCACCCTATTCATCAGCATTTTATTATTTATACAATCACAGCTGGAGCACCCTGTAGGCGGCTGAGCGAATGCTTTGACAAGCGCTCAGCCGTGATAACAATTTTTATTTTTATTTTATTTTGTTGTTGTGCCGAACCCATTTGAAATTTAACTGAAAATCAACATAAAAGAAGAAAATGAGAAAGCAAGCCAAAAATAAGTTGAAATGCCGATCGATTAGGGCGCAAAAGCTTTGAAGTATAATCCGCATGACGTATACGCCACGTTGTAAAAGCATGTGTGTGTATGTATGTATTTGTGTGTGTGTGTGTGTGTGTGTGCATGTATAGAACTGTTGGCCGTTCGGCCTTGCTCTTGGCCTTATCCTTTTAACCTCCGACTGCAGCACCAATGCCAATGACAGCCGTGTGCCACCGAGAGTTGCCGGCTGGCAGAGTAGATTGCACAAAGCACTCGGCAAACATCTAGATGCCTCGCCTAGCCTGGCCTGCCTGCCGCTTGGCATATGCTCTGCTGCAGCTGCGGGGGAGTCCACCTGCCAATTGCAGTTGCAAATACTTATTTTCCAGCGGAAATTGCTTCAACTAGCTGCTGTTTAAAACGGCAGCACAACTTGCATCCTGTTCGTTTGAATCTCTCACCTTTGCACTTTGATTGCGCCCGCTTTGGATTTTATTTTATTATTATAATTTTGTTCCTTACGTTTTTTTATTTAATTTTTTCATGTTTTGTGAAATCCAATTTTACTTAACATGATTTGATTCTCAGCGGAATATTGCCGTTGCTGTTATTTATTAATATGTGCGCTTCTACAAATGGATTTGCCGTGTTTCCGTGTTTCCGTGCGGCACTGGGAATTATTGCAGCTGGGTTAACTGGCTCCTGAGCTGGGGTTTCATTAAGATATTTCGTGGAATATGAAATTGATTGTAGCTATGGGAGCCAACTGTGATATGCAGGAGTGCTGAAGCTACATGAATTAAATATGGTATTGAACACAGACCTGATGAATTGAGAAGTTTGAGTAGAAGCACAGGGAAGGGGTTTATTTTGCTGTAAATATTCGGGAGTCCATGAGCTTATAGAGCTGCCCAGATATTTACATTTCCAGAATAATAAATGCAACATTTAATTATAATAATTTACTATTATAGATTACTCTCGTTTATTTCGTCAGATTTTTGTTTATGGATGTCGCTTGGTTCGTTTTTGTACGCTTAAGATGCTAACAAATTTCGCATATAAATAAATATATAAATAAATATGTTATATATCAATATCAATCAGATATAGCATATATCAATTGGGTTTTAGCATAAATTAAATTAATTAATAAATTCAATTGAACTAAAAACATATGCGCTCTCTCTCTCTCTCTCTTTCCCGCGCGCTCTCGCACTCGCATATTTGCATTTTAACATAACAACAATTTGCCTATGAACATTAACAATTTTTGTTTTTTAGCTGAATCAAAGATAGGTAGGGGTTTCATTAAAAAAAACGGCAATAATAATAATAATATAAATTAAATAAATAAATAAATAAGCTTAGCGATTACAATAAATATGCCTTAATCTTAGTATTGCGTATGAGAGGAATGGAGTTGGCGTGTGTGAGGGAGAGGGCAGATAAGCTCGAGCTCTGAAGGATTTTCAGTGACCGCCTGAAAGTAGGCAACAGAAATTTCGCACAGTTTGACAGTCGCTGCAATTTCTCATATTAAACTAAGGGAAGGAAGAGTTTTGTGGGTGACATTCGATGAGTTTTGTGAAAGCGACGCTGCTGCCTATACATATACATATATTTATATTAAATATTCAATATAAATATATATAAATATATGTACATTTATTTATAGGTCATTTCGCCTCGTCAAAGTCCTCTAAAAACTATTTGTTCTATTTACAGTTTCAATGTGTGTGTGTGTACGTGGTTTATTTAACACCCGTTATGCTGCGCAGCCACGGCTTATAGAATGTGGTACGCATATAGACACCCGGCAGATAGGGCGCCGCACACTTGATGCCATGCGATACAGTGCCAGCCAGCTCGTAACGTCCATCGGGACGCTGCAGTACCAAAGGACCGCCGCTGTCACCCTGCCGAGAGAGAGTTGATTAAAAAAGTTTCGAAATAGCTAATGGCAACATTTACCTCGCACGAGTCCTTCTGCCCGTTGGCATAGCCCGCACAGAGGAACGAGTTAAGTATCTTCTTATTGTGCCCGGCCGTGTGGAACATCTCCTGGCAGACGCTGTTCTCAATGATGGGCACCTGTTGCGTGAGAAAAGCCAATTAAAAGTTGTTCGTAAAGCGGTTAATCAATCAGCATGGGCTAATAGCTCATTATTGCTGAACACAGAGAGAAAGAGTCAGAGAGAGAGAGAGAGGGAGAGGGAGAGGGAGAGGGACACTCACCTGCACCTCCTGCAGCACCGAGGGCACTCCGCCGCCGTACTTGAGTCGACCCCAGCCCGTCACGGTTGCCATGCGACCTGTGAAGTCCGCCTGATCGTTGGGCATGCAAATTGGCACTGTGTGGGAGATGAGCATGATTAGCATGATTAGTGGAAAGTCTTTTATATAATTAAATGGAGTAAAGGCATTCTTCTCCCTTTGAACTGATTATTGCTTTGATGAGACAAAAGTAAGATAGTCAAGCTCTATCTTGGTCTAAAGTCTATTACTTGCTTTATTAAGCTAAGTTAATCAAATGCTAACAAATTATCGTTTAATCGCTTAAATAATATATGTAATATAATTTCTTTGCATTCTGGATCCCTTAACTTTTTTTCTACCATTTATGTTAAATAGCAGAGGTTGACAATCTGGCGGATTTTAATTGTACGACTATAATAATAAATCTCAGAGTCTCAGACAAAAGGAATTGATGTTGGAAGAATTAAATTTTCATTTCTTTACATATATTTTATTTAGCTCAACATATACCCATATATCGCCCCCTCACTTACCTATATGCGTGTCAAACTGCACGGGACTGTCCATTTCGAGCAGCGCCAGATCGTTCTCAAACGTGGCCGGATCGTATTGACGATGCACAATGACGCGTTTCACATTCTTCGTAACGGGACGCTTGCTCTCCAGATCCCCAGAGATATCAAACTCGCCCATGACAGCGACCAAAGAGGCCAGGAAACTAAAGAAGAGCAAAAGTTAGGTAAAAAAGAAAACGTAGCTTGGCTTAGCAACTTACCCGGGCTGGCAATGGGCAGCGGTGATGACGTAGCGACTAGTGATTAGAACGCCGCCGCATTTGTTCTTGGTGAAGAGACCCAGCCAGGTGGATTCGCGTACTAGAACCTGCCAGGGAAAGGCGCCAAATGTGGAGCCTTTGCCGCCGACAATGCGACCCGATTTAACATGTGGACGAACGCCGCATTCTGTTGATGGGGAGTGAAATGTGAGGTTAGGAGTAGGGAGTGTTCACAAAGCGAGCGAGCGAGTGAGTGAGTGAGAGCGAACGAGCGATTGTATCAAATGTGAGCGAGCGAGGGAGCAACTGACGAGCAGCCAGAAAAATAGTTACACAGAGAGAAACGGGGAGGGGCAAATCTTTGCGGGATGAGGCAAGAAACGGATTAGGCACTAGGGGAACTGGAGTCTAACTAGGCTACCATATGCGGATCGGGGACTAGGGAAATTGGGTTTCATTAGACTATTAAGAACTAGCTATGTGACTATGTGGATAGCGTTTGGATGGTTTCAATGATGGCGATGCCTGTGGACAGGCCGTTTGAGCCGGCGACGTGCTATATATTTTTTTAATATTTTTTATGAAATGATTGAAAATGCAGGGATGGATATTTTTTTTTTTGGATGGAATTAATCGATTTAGTTGGCAAGGGTTAACGAACGTAATGTGTGCATGAATTATTAGAGACAAGAGAGAAAACAAAGAATAGAGATAGATAGACAGTTTGTTTTCGGGGTCCAGGCTACAAACACTCAACACTTACGTATTTTGCGTCCGTTGGCACCACCGTATGAGCTCAGCGTTCCCTGCTCGATCTCGTTCTCGTGCGGACTCGGATTGACGTCCTCCTCGTCCTCCTCATCGTTGAAGTCTTGGATAGGTCGTGCCGTGGTCTTGGTGGTCGTGACACGTTTCGTTGGCCTCTTGGAGCTGGGACGCCGCGTTGTGGTGTTGGGTCGACGCGTGGCCGGTTTCCGTGTGGTGGTGGTCGGAACTTTCCTGTTGGGCGCCTTGGTGGAGACTCGAGTCACAGGCTTCTTGGTGGTTGCCTTCGGCTTTGAGGTGGTGGCGACGCGCACTGGCTTGCGTGTGGTCTTCTTGTTGACATTGGTGGTGCTCACCAGGCCGGAGGAGTACGTAGATGCAGTGTTGTTCGTCTCGTCGATCATGTCGGCCAGCGCCTCGAAGTTGCCCTGCAGTGAGGCCACCAGCTTGTGGACGAGCGTGTGCATCTTGTCCTTCAGCACAGTGTCCTCGACAAAGGAGGGCGTGGCGAGCTCCAGATCGCTGGTCACGGCGCTCGAGGCGGCGGACATATTCAGATTCGGATTGCGCACCGGCGGGAAGTTGACGAAGTCATTGGGAGAGGTGTACGTCTCCTCGACCACCTGGCCCACCTTCTCGCCGGGCACCGAGAATGCCGGATATGTGGGCGTCGGCCCATAGTAGCCCGGAAAAGCGGGCTTGTCATCCGACGGCACACCGTACATCGCCTCAGTGGTCGACTGGGTGTAGGTCAAGTGCACGGGACTGCTGCCAGCAGCGGGCATGCCGAAGTAGCCCGGATCCTCAAAGTCATTCGAGCTTACTGCAGACGGCGTATTGCCCGGACGTCGCGTTCCTTCTGGCCCATAGATGTACGAGTTGGAGGTAGTCGAGCCGAGTTTCGTGTTATCCCAGCTGTTGGCTGGCACCACATTGATGGTGGTGGGCTTGGGCGTGATCAGCACCGTTGGCTTGGAGGGTTTGGGCGTTATATTGATCTGCACAAAGCCGGGCTTCTTGTGGCTATTATAGTTGTTCGTCGGCTGCTGTATGTGGATGGGCGTCGAGGCGGTGGCGTAGAGCGGCGCCTGATAATTGCCCGGCGTGGAGCCCAAGATATTCTCGGCGGTGCTCTGTATGAATGCATCGAGCTTGTCATCGGCCATAAACAGCGGCGGCACCTTGTCGTAGTGGTAGTCCACGGTGGCTGGGGGACGCGGTGTGGTCGGGCCTGTTACGTAGCTCGTGGAGATGGGCTTGGCGGAGACGGGTTTGCGCGTGGGCGAGCTAGCCGCCGGCTCATGATAGTTGAGCACCGACGGAGCGGACTCGGCATATGTAGCTGGAGCGGGTGCTGGAGCCGGAGCTGGAGCTGCCTGATCGTAGTTAGCTGCTGGAGAGGCTGGCTCATCGTAGCTGATTGCAGGCGTGACAGATTGATCGTAGCCTGGGGCAGAGGCCGATGAGGATTGATCGTAGCTGACAGTGGGCGTGGCGGGCTGATCCTGACCATAGCCGGAGCTAGAGACGGCTGCAGGCTGATCATAGCTCTGAATCGGAGCCTGTCCATAGCCGGAGTCCATCTGCTGCTGCTGCTGCTGTTGCTGCTGGTTGTAACTGCCCGCAGGCTGTTTGATCTGGATGTGGGTAACGGGTGACTCCTCGGTGTTGTAGCTGCTGCTGGGCTGAGCCGGTCTGCGCGTGTTCTGCTCGCTCTGCACGGGCTTCTTCTTGATGATCGTTGCAGGCGTTGCCGGTTTCTTGGGCGGCGTCGGACGCTTTGTTGTGGGCTTGGGGCGTGGCTTGGGGCTGGCTGTTATCAAAACGGGACGCAGTGAGGAGCTCTCCTGGTGGCTATCGTATTGAGGACGCTGGGCCTGCGTTGTGGTCGAGGCAGCCAGGTAGCTGGCCGTGGGCACTGGGCTGGCTGTGACCAGTTTCTCGGCTTGCTGATAGCCGGAGGAGGTCTCCTCGTATTGCTCCTGCACTTTGGTGGTGTGTGAGGAGACAGAGACCTCGGGGGGCAGCTCATCATTGTAGTGCTGCATGGTGACCATGCCGATGTAGGAAGCCACCGGACGATTGCCGTTCGAGGGACGCACGTAAGCGGGCGAAGGCTGCGGCGCCTCGGTATAACTATTCGTGATCTTCTCAAAGTTCATCTCCGTATTCCCCTCGAGCGATGCACTGCTCACCTGTCCATAGCCGGACGGCTCACCGTCCGCTTGATTCGAGTCGCCTTCCATGTAGGACATATCCACGGGATAGGCAATGCCCATGACGGGCATTTTGTTGAACTCCGAGGTCTGGGGAGCCTGCGGCGACATGGCATCGTTGTAGCTCGTGGCGGGCATTGTGTGCTCCTCGAGTACGGCGGACTGATCATCGCTGTAGGTGGGACGCGGCGTGGGCAGCTCGGCGGACTGACTATTCGTGGAGACATCTTGCTCGCCGGACAGCTTGTCATAGCTGAACTCGGTCGTGTAGCCGTACTCCTGCTGCTGCTCCACCTCCTGCGACTTGGTCAGATCGTTCTGCTGCTCCTCGTTCTGCTGATAGTAGCTGGCCGGCTGAGCCGTAACCACCGGCTCACTGTGATCGGCCTGCGGTGCATAGTTGTACGACGGCGTCTGCTGGCTAACCACATTGTAGCTGGGTCCATGGCTGCTGTGGTTCAGCTGCAGTATGATCGACTCAATGGAGTCCACGTGCGTGGTGATGGATGACACCGTGGTGGGATTGCTCTGCACCACAGCGGGTCGCTTCTCATTGTTGTAGGTGGGCACCAGAATATATTTATCATCCGCTGCGGCGCTGGGCTGTGTACTGCTGGACGAGATGTAGGACTGAGACGCCGGCTGCGAGGGCTGCTGCTGCTGCTGCTGCTGCTGCTGCTCCTTTGGTGGCTGCACATAGACTGGCTGTGGTCCATAGCCCGTGGAGAATTGCAGATCCTCAACGAGATCCGCATCTGCACCGGGATGTGTTATATCGCTGTGTGTGAACTCGCCGCCATCCAATATCAAATGATTGTGATTATGCAGATTGGCTGGCTTCGGCTTGGGCTTCACCTGCTGCACAGGTCGCTTCATGGCCTCGGCCAGCTGTGGCACAGGCTTCGATTGGGGCTTGGATTGGGGCTTGGCCTGGGGCTTTGCTTGGGGCTTTGGTTGTGGCTTGGGCTGCGGCTTCGGCCTGGGCGTGCTAGCTGGCGCCTTGGTGGCTGCAATCTCCTCAAAGCTGTTCGACTCGGAGCTGCTGTGCTCCACATGACCGTTGGAAATCTTATTGGGCACCTCCGTGGTAAAGGTCACAATGTCATCCACATGCTCCGGCGGCAGCGTGGCCAGCACTTGCATGACGAAGTCATCGTTGTTTGGCGGCGATGAGAACGTGTTGATCTTCACGGAATGCTTGTGCACATGTATGGCCGGTGGCTGATCCGTGGGCTTCACCTCATTGGAGTTGACGGCATCGTTGTTCGTCTGCAGCTCCGCCTCCTGCTCGAACTCTACGCTGGCTGACTGTGAATTGGTTGCCTCAGTCGAGCTGCTGGCATAGCTCAACTCGTCCTGCGCCACAGGCTGCACGCTCTGACTCAGACTCACAGTGCTGCCCAGCTGCTGATAGACCTTATCCAGATTCTGTAGATTCTGTGCTGGCTGCTCATCATTGAGATGTTGTTGCTGCTGCTGTTGATACTGTTGCTCCTGTTGCTGCTGCTCCTGTTGCTGCTGCTGTTGCTGCTGTTGGTACTTTTGCTCCTGTTGCTGCTGTTGCTCCTGCTGTTGCTGCTGCTGCTGCTGCTCTCCATAGTTCTCATAGGAGGACTGCGCTGCTGCCTGTTGTTGTTGCTGCTGCTGCTGTTGTTGCTTTTGCTGCTGCTGCTGGAAGTACGCATTCTGTGCATCATTGATCAGCGTGCTGGCCAGCTCATGGGTTTGCGGTATCTGACAGCAGGCACCAAATAGAAAGCCATCCATGCAGGCGCCCACCACCTCGCCGCCTCGTTGCGCGCACTCGTGATTGAACATGCAAATGGTGGGGCCATTGGAGCGTGGATCCGAGCTGGGCAGCGTCTTGGTAGCACGACAATGTTTGGGCGTAATGCGATAGCCGCCAAACAGCTTGCGACCAGCTGCAAAGAGATGGAGAAAGGAGAATTAGAAATGATATTAAAGAAGAAAATATTATTAAAGACAATATTAAGGGATGTTTAGAGTAGAGTCCTTATTTTCGATCTTGAGTTAGACTTGAGTATCTCTATTATTTAGGTATATATTTTATCTATTGGCATTTTGAAAAAGGATCTGCTGTCCTCCCACATATTCATTATATGAGGAACTACTATGTCTCCATGGTCAAATCCGACTTTTAGGTTACTATATCTGCATTGCCTGATCAATCCATCTATCATCTCTCTTCCTATTCACCTTTAACCTTTACCCTTACCCCTCTAGTCTTGGGCATTCATTCACTCCACTCATCCAATCCATTAGTCAGTTAGTCATGCCCATTCGCTTCGTTCACTCAATCAGGACAAGCTCTCTTCTATCAATAGATTTGTTTACGTGCCTTGGCTGCCTAGAGTTTTATGGGCTAGCTGTAAATGTAATTGTGCTTGTTTTTCATTTAATTAGCAACTTAATTGTTAATTGATTGCGACCACACAAAAAAACGATTTTGGCTGGCCAAAGAATCTAGCACTCGCAGCTGCTCCAGTTTCTCAACAACAACAAAAAAACCCGAAAAACCCAAACTTTGACAAGCTTCTTTGGAAATGGGAGCACGCAGCCAGCCGGCAAGTGGAGCATCGAGCCGACGCTTGAGGTGTTAATTGCCAAAATCAAGTGAGACCCGGTGCCAGTTTTCAGAGAAGGCAATCAAATCAATAAACGGCCAAATGTCAAGTGAGTTGCAACTCGCTTTCAATTTGCTAATGAGCTGAGTGGGCTGAGTGCAGCCTCGCGCGACATCATTTGCCAAATGAGCTGGAAAGCAGACACCAAAGAGTGCAATCGCCGCACCACCAGCAGCAGCAACAGCAGCTTAAAGTTGGCTTTGAACTTTGACATTGCAACGGCAACGGCAACGGCAACGGCAACGGCAACGACTTGCGCACTTTCACTTGGCAACTGCCTTTCGTCTGGCCCCAATTGCCAATGCTGCTTGCTTCTCATGTTAATTGAGTTTCTGGCTTTGGATGTTTTTTGTTTCTGAGCTGCTTTTAGCGACTTTTAGCCGTTTTTGGAGCTTCTGCTGCTACTTCATAACGCAATTAAATGCTCAGTTTATGGTTTCCAAAAACAAAAAAAAAATGTCACTTTCATTTCAAGAATTCCACTCGCAACTATCTAATTTTCGCTAGCTAAACCAATTATTTACAGTTGTCTGACTCCGATTGCCATTTCTCGACTGTCGATTGTCGCTGGAGGCGCCCCAAGCTCTTGGGTTTGGAAACGGAAATTGCCTGAAAACCAATTAGAATGCTATGCAACAATCATTTTGAATGAATTATAAACAAATTAATTGACAATCAGTGAGAAGAACTGAAAGTGTTTAAAATTGAACGAGCCAAAAATTCTTCTGTTTGTTTAATATTTTAATTATTTAGTGAAAGAACGTTAATGGGCATAAGAAAGTTCTTTATTGGACATTGCTTATATGCCCTATAGCAGAGCTCCATGGACTATGAGAATTTGTGTATTTGTATGTGAAATCTTAAAGTAATTTTGGAATAATACTTAAGATGATAAAGCCAAAGCTATCCAGGCCACGCCTCTAATCTCTAATCTATAAAGATTATAAAGTCGTAACTCTTCTTATATCTTTTTATTTCCCTATACATAAGTATTAAGCATACTAAGTATACAAACTCCCATTATTAAATTCACTATTGTTTCCAATTTCAATCCAACTTTATTGACAATTAATGATTTTTCTATTGCCGCCCAGCAACGCGGGAACCTGTTGCTGCAGCTCCTGCTTCAAAACGCTTTAATAAAGTCAAGAGTAAAAGAAGTTCAAGTGAAAGTAAACACGTAAAGCGAATAAGTTATCAGAGGCCCAGCAGCAAAAACTCCAATTAGAATGTCCAGTACGTAGCGCCCGTAGCTTCCAACTCCAACAGCAACCGCACGAAATAAACACAAGACAAAAAAAGCCATAATTGCGAAAAGTGATAGTGTTTTGTTTGACTTGTTCAATTCATTTCATTTCATTTATTTATTTAATTTTTTTCCTTAAGATTTATATTTCTTCATTTCGCTCGCAACTTTATAAACGATTTCGTTTTTCTACTCTATGGCTGTATTTTTTTTTCTAATTTTTTTTGTCTTCTTTCTTTTTGTTATTAATTTACTTGCTCTTTGTGGCTCTATTATTTGCAGACATTTCGCATTTTTATGATTAGACACTCAAGTGCGCTGAAGTATTCTTCCGACAATCGTTAAAAGTTAGTAAACCCACAAACGATGTGAAATTGCCGCGAGCAACAACAGCGCTGTTAACTGTTACCGAGTTAACAGAGTGAGTCTGTTGCTGTTAACATAACTGTGGAGAGAACGCTTCGGCCTGTGTTTTCTCTGCTCGTCGGCCTGGCTGTCTCTTAATTATGGAGTTTGGCACAATCTGCTTTGCTCTAAGCTGGGCAATTTATTAGGGCTAACATTTGCTTTGTTAATGGCCAAGATAGTCGATCAGTTAGTAGTTTAGATGAATTGGAGTGTGTGGAAGCTGTTATTAGTAGCAGCACAGAAGCAGCAATAAAGCAATGAACTTAGGCAGTGGACAGTGTTAAAATAAGAAACATTTGAAATAATCAGAGTAGAAATTGCAAGAGATGTTTTATGTATCTCAATTCGATCAATCGAGTGCTCGTTCAAGAAGTGTTTAGAGTATATAAGTTTCTAGGTCATTGCCCGATTTGCTATCCTTTTGTTTGCTCGCATAGGAACATGAAATTTAGACTATAAACTCAAGTTGATCAAGAATAAATACGAAGAAGTAGATAAATCTACACCGATTGAGGAGCTAGAAAAACATCTTTCCCACACAGTGATCTATTGAGTATAGAAAAAATATATATATTAATAATTTACCTATAATAGATCTCTAACATAAATATATAAGATAAGGCATAGCAAATGCTATATATATTACTATATATGGATATAAGATATACATATATATGTAAATATTTAGATTTACATCTATTATTATGTAATTTATGACTTTTCTAATTCACCAAAAACTCTTCATAGTTTCCCGCTCCAAATTTCTTTTTCGCTTTTAATAATAAATATGTTAACTAGGTAGAGTTATGCCATTGAATCTGAACAATGCTTAACAAATATTCTTTATTCTCACACCTGACAACAGCGCTACGAAGTATCGTTCGTTATGCTCCGCAATCTAGCAAATTGTGACCTTTACGCAACTCCATGGCTCAGTGGAGTCACATAAAAGAGAGCGAGAGCGAGAGCGTGAGAGAGTAAGTGAGAGAGATAGGGAGAGGGAGAGATTTAGCTATTCATAAAATATGCAAAGAATGTTTCAACGTGTTTGCTGCATGAGCATTAAATATTTTTATCTATTTTTTTTTCTTTCTTTTTTTTATTTATTTTTTGGGGCGCACCTGCTACAAAGAGAGTGAGTCGAGAGCGAACGTAACTGAACGCGCGTGACTCTTAAAGTTGATTTGTGATTTCGTTTTTGGGTCTGGGTCTGGGTCTGGCTATGGTTATAAGTTTTCGTTTTGGTTTGGATTTCAATACAATTTGGCATGCTATGCGGTGCGGTAGTGTGTTGACTTATCAGACAGACTGTGACCCTAATTGGCGCAACAAGAAATTCAAGTCAATGTAGCGTCATAATCGAAACGTTTTTGCATGCAAAATAGGTTACAGCATCGCAGCAGCAGCAGCGCAGCAGCAGCAGCAGCAGCAGCAATTGTGACAACTGAGAGCGGGCAAAAAGCCGGCTCACACACACACATATATACATATATGCATACACTGCGATGCTCTCTGGACTTGCTGTTAAGCGTAAGTGTGTCAAATGCCTGAGACATATATATTTGTCTTTATTTCTTTTTAAATATTTTAAATTTTTATCAGCTTTATATAGGCAAAGACGCAGCTGAGAATGAGCTAACAGATGGCGCAGCCTCATTAATTATGAATTTATAGCGAAAAACAAAATAAAATGAAATGAAAACTATGAGCAACATTCGTCTGCTTCAAAGAGTCATTGACTAAACTACATGACTCCAATTTGAAATCCAATTGGAGTTCGGTTCGAGCAGCATCAATGATGAACTCTTGCTGTGCGACACATTTTAAATGCTCTATTCAGACTCAACTGAGAGTTAAGCTCAACGTCCAAATAGATTCCGAACTGGAATGGTTATGCCCATGTGTTAGTATGTCATTACGGCTGGAGTATGAAACATTAATTCTAGCGATGAGCCAATTGGAATTTGGTTCAAAAAGCAATATTTATGGCTAGCAGCTCCTACGTCCAATCGGAAGCCGACTGCATCTAAATTTTATAAAATCATAGTAAACTTTATATGATACAGAAAGTCCTATTAGAATAAGTTTTTAGCTTCCAGTTCCAGCTCGAATGCCAATTGATAGAAACGAGACTCAGTTCGAAATTGGGAATGGGAAATGGCTTTGGCTGTAAACAGTTAGCGGCTGCATTTAAAACGCATTCAGTGAAATTTTACATACACACACGCAGAGCGACGAAAATTAATTAAATCATGAAATATGCTGCACGCCAGGCAGCGACAGAGCAGCGCTGTTCAGAGCAGAGCAGAGCAGCTTCCCAACTGTGTAGCTGAGAGTTCGAATTTCGAAGAACTTGTTTTCGAGCCAAAAGAATGTAAACAAACGAGGCGCTTTAACGGTAAAATGGAAAATTATTATCGATCAATTAGCTCAGCGTTGCAAAAAAATAAAAAAAAATACAACAACAAAGTTTATAGAATTTCTTTAAAAAATAAATCTAAATTAGGAGTTTTATGGAATTATATGTTAACATGCAATCGCACGTGTTGGATCGAGTTTCTATATAATGTTCCTAACTGGTTTTGCATACATTTTTATTTGCTCTGATTGCAATGTGAAAGTGTTGAAAAATTCTTGTTCTACATTTATGTAAATTATAGAGTTGCATTAACTAGAAAATACAAATTATAGAGATTTAAAAAAGTGGGAAATTGTATATGAAATTTTAAAGTATAATAATTAAAAAATTAAAACTAAAATTTTAATATATTTTTATAACTGTACAGTAAGAAAAAATATGATAAAGCCCCCACTTTTGTCCCTTTCCTCCAACAGCATCAGCATAATTTCACTTTTCTTAGACAAAAGGAAAACTGTTTACAGTTGGCTTATCTTTTTTCTTTTGATTTTGATTTTTTATTTTTTTATGAACCTCTAACGCATGATTTGGGTGTA